GTTCTTTATAATTATTAGCAAGTGTTCTCCTTTATTCAAATTCAAAAGTACAAATTTATATCATATTCTATTATAATTGCCATCTCTATTCTGGATGTTGGCTCTCCACAATTTTCTTTTCCTTTGTAGCTCTGAATATATTTTGTCTTTTTGTTTCTCTCCTAAACATTATTCTACCATCCATTTACTCAAGTTTGATAGGTAGGTTATGTTTTCTTCTGTCTCACTTGCGTTCAATTTGTTCTGTGTGCATCAAATTTTCCAAGTCCTCTTTCCTCATTACATGCTTTAAAAATTTCAGCTCTTCTTTTCTGATAAGTATAAGTGTTCTTTTTTTTTCATTTTCTCTAAAACTTTGTCCTGGCTAACATCTTCAGCATCCTTCTGTAGAACCACATTTCTGTTTCTTCTTTTATTATTTTCTTGCAATTTTATGATGGTGACATGAGATTTGCAATACAAAGCAACAGAAATTAAAGTGACAGAAATACAAGTACTGAAAGTATCTGATAAACTTATAAAAAATATCCTTTTTTGCCTACTTTAAAAAAAATCTGAATTTCAGTAGAGTTCAAAAAAATTTTATGCATCCTTGTAGGGGATGAATTATTTTCCACACTATATCCCATTTAATACAGATGCAACTGAACACTGTCCTGGGTATGATGATAAACTGCATCTGAATCCTGGGTATGATGATAAACTGCATCTGAATCCTGGGTATGATGATAAACTGCATCTGAATCCTGGGTATGATGATAAACTGCATCTGAATCCTGGGTATGATGATAAACTGCATCTGAATCCTGGGTATGATGATAAACTGCATCTGAATCCTGGGTATGATGATAAACTGCATCTGAATCCTGGGTATGATGATAAACTGCATCTGAATCCTGGGTATGATGATAAACTGCATCTGAATCCTGGGTATGATGATAAACTGCATCTGAATCCTGGGTATGATGATAAACTGCATCTGAATCCTGGGTATGATGATAAACTGCATCTGAATCCTGGGTATGATGATAAACTGCATCTGAATCCTGGGTATGATGATAAACTGCATCTGAATCCTGGGTATGATGATAAACTGCATCTGAATCCTGGGTATGATGATAAACTGCATCTGAATCCTGGGTATGATGATAAACTGCATCTGAATCCTGGGTATGATGATAAACTGCATCTGAATCCTGGGTATGATGATAAACTGCATCTGAATCCTGGGTATGATGATAAACTGCATCTGAATCCTGGGTATGATGATAAACTGCATCTGAATCCTGGGTATGATGATAAACTGCATCTGAATGATGATAAACTGCATCTGAATCCTGGGTATGATGATAAACTGCATCTGAATCCTGGGTATGATGAATGCATCTGAATCCTGGGTATGATGATAAACTGCATCTGAATCCTGGGTATGATGATAAACTGCATCTGAATCCTGGGTATGATGATAAACTGCAAATCCTGGGTATGATGATAAACTGCATCTGAATCCTGGGTATGATGATAAACTGCATCTGAATCCTGGGTATGATGATAAATCATCTGAATCCTGGGTATGATGATAAACTGCATCTGAATCCTGGGTATGATGATAAACTGCATCTGAATCCTGGGTATGATGATAAACTGCATCTGAATCCTGGGTATGATGATAAACTGCATCATCCTGCATCTGAATCCTGGGTATGATGATAAACTGCATCTGAATCCTGGGTATGATGATAAACTGCATCTGAATCCTGGGTATGATGATAAACTGCATCTGAATCCTGGGTATGATGATAAACTGCATCTGAATCCTGGGTATGATGATAAACTGCATCTGAATCCTGGGTATGATGATAAACTGCATCTGAATCCTGGGTATGATGATAAACTGCATCTGAATCCTGGGTATGATGATAAACCATCTGAATCCTGGGTATGATGATAAACTGCATCTGAATCCTGGGTATGATGATAAACTGCATCTGAATCCTGGGTATGATGATAAACTGCATCTGAATCCTGGGTATGATGATAAACTGCATCTGAATCCTGGGTATGATGATAAACTGCATCTGAATCCTGGGTATGATGATAAACTGCATCTGAATCCTGGGTATGATGATAAACTGCATCTGAATCCTGGGTATGATGATAAGCTGTATCCAACAGTAAGGCCTCTGATCAGGTTTTGAGGGGCATGTAACCACCTCTTAATTGCTGGTGTTCCCAGGTCGACCCTGACCCGGGGTGGTAGCACTTGTTAGGGTCCCAGCTATAGCCACATAGTTGACCCCCAAACTGGGATCAAAACACTATGAAAGTGTAAAAATAGGTTTTAATACCAGCAATATATTTTTTGGAAAAAGAAATATTAGCAGCAATACATTTGGCAGGAAAAAAAAATATTACCAGCAATAAAAATCTTGTCTGCATTAAACAACCCATAGAGGTTGATATGCCATAAACAAACCAAGCAACTGCACTGCTACTTCATCATTATTTCCTTGGAAAATATTCTTCTTAGCTACACTCCATAGATTAATTTATAATTCATTGATAGATCATAGGGAGAAAGCATTTACAATTTTTATTTTCTTTATTTTGCCTGGTTAATAATGTTCTTTTCAGAGTGCTGGTGATCATGGCTCTCTACAATTTCCTGTTCTTTGTAGCTCTTAATAAATGTTGTCTTGTTATCTCTCTTAAAACTTACTCTGCCACCAATTTACTCAAGCTTACTAGGTAAGTTATATATTGTTTTCCTCTATTCCTCAATCTGTCCTGCATCCTGGGTATGACGATAAACTACATCCATGTCCTGGGTAAGACGATAAACTACGTCCAACAGCAAGGTCACTGATCAGGAGGTTTTGAGGAGCGTGGAACCACCTCTTAATTGCTGGTATTCCCAGGTCGACCCTGACCCGGGGTGGTAGCACTTGTTAGGGTCCCAGCTATGGGCAAATAGTTAACCCCAAAATTGAGGTAAAAAGCATTATGAAAGTGTAAAAATAGGTTTTGATACCAGAAATACATTGTAAAAATTATTACTAGAAATAAATTGTTCAAGAAAAAACTATTACTAGCAATATATTTTTGAAAAAAATATTACCAGCAACATATTTTTGAAAAAAAAAAAATATATTACCAGCAATATATTTTTGAAAAAAAAATATATATTACCAGCAGTACATTTTTGAAAAAAAAAAAAATATATTACCAACAACATATTTTTGAAAAAAAAAAAATATATTACCAGCAATATATTTTAAAAAAAAAAAAATATATTACCAGCAATATATTTTTGAAAAAAAAAATATATTACCAGCAACATATTTTTGGAAAAAAAAAATATTACCAGCAATATATTTTTTGAAAAAAAAATATATTACCAGCAACATATTTTGGAAAAAAAAAATATATTACCAACAATACGTTTTTGAAAAAAAAAAAAAATATATATATATATATATATATATATATTACCAACAATACGTTTTTGAAAAAAAAATATATATATATATATATATATATATATTACCAACAATACGTTTTGAAAAAAAAAAATATATATATATATTACCAGCAATACGTTTTTGAAAAAAAAAAAAAATATATATATATATATTACCAGCAATACGTTTTTGAAAAAAAAATATATATATATATATATATATATATATATTACCAACAATACGTTTTTGAAAAAAAAAAAAAAAATATATATATATTACCAGCAATACGTTTTGAAAAAAATATATATATATATATATATATATATTACCAACAATACGTTTTGAAAAAAAAAAAAAATATATATATATTACCAGCAATACGTTTTTGAAAAAAAAATAAATATATATATATATATATATATAACCAGCAATAATTTTTGAAAAAAAAAAATATTACCACCAATACGTTTTAAAAATATATATATATATATATATATATATATATATTACCAACAATACGTTTTTGAAAAAAAATTATATTACCAGCAATACATGTTTTAACATAATATTACCATCTATACATTTTTGAGGAAAAAAAATTACCAGGAAAAAAAAAAGTTGTCAGCATTAAATAACCCATTGAGGTTGATATGCTGTAAAACGCAACAAACCAAACCATCAATCTGTCCTGTGAGTCTTAAATTTTCAAGCGTTTTCCTTATTATATGCTCTAAAAAAGCCAACTGTTTCTTACTGATATTAAGTATAAATGTCTTTTTTATTTCCATTTTATCTAAAACTTCATTGCTCACATGTTTAGTCCATGGTATTCTCAGCATCCTTCTGTAGAACCACATTCCTTTTACTTTTACAGGTCTCTGTGAAGAGTTTGCCTAAAATTAACTGCCATATAGAAGGACTGAAATATGTAACAATTCAGTATTTCTTGAAGATTTTCTGTTTTTTAATACTTTGCTTAGCTCTTGAAAGGTGTCTTCCTCTATCCCAATGTGCTATTAGATTTCAGTTTCACACTTTCCATCCTCCGTTAAAACACTTCCCAGTTATTTCTACTCATCAGTAAAATATAATTTTCACACTAAAATTTTAACTAATGCCTTCCAAAAGCTAAACAAAGTATTAATGTGGGTATTATACAAGAGAGCATTTCCAGTTTCCCTCATTATAGGGATTATCATATCTCTGATATAGTAATACTTTAATACACAGACATAACAGAATAGCTGAAAGAGAAAATGACAAACATGTTTTTTTCTCGGGTAATTTTTATTCAATATGTACATACTTATCACTAATTAGTTTCACACATAGAAATTATGACATATATACAACAAGCAGTGTGAAAAAACAGCAAAAATACAGAGGGTCTTATATTTCCCACTAAAAGAAACAGGTTGATGATGTTTCTGGTTAGACCATGTGGGTTCTACTTTTTCCCTGATCAATGTGGGCTTGTGATATCTTCTTTCTCCAGTCGACATAGCAACTGGCATGGACACCCACATCTTGCCTCAGAGCATGATAAATTGCAACTGCCTTTCTTTACTTTATCAACTGATATCACTCACTGGCTGTCATATGACCTTCATAAAGAAGTCATCAACAGTTTAAGCTAGAGTTGAGTTTTTGTTTTCTTTAAACTTTAAGAGGTTGTAGGCAATTTTGTCAACCAAAATACTTGTCATGTCACTGCAGACAAATCTAGTTGCTAAATGACAATGTTTAAATTTTATTAATGGGCTGTAATGCTGCTATAGCAGCAATTAAAACATTAATTGAAATGGGGAACTAGGTTACTGCAGTTGCATCACTGCTATATAAGGGGAGATAATAATTTTGAATAATGCAGAGTGCTAAATGTAGCAGTTGAAGGGTGCGCAAGGTAGTATAATGTTGAACAAAAGAGAATTCATAAATGGTTCAAATACAAGCTAGTATTGCATGTGCTAACTCCCTTTAAGACTCTTAGAAAGATATGAACAGTAATGGAGAATAAGATCAAACCAGCAAGAGACCCAGAGTTGGTTGTATGTGGTACAGTAAACACCAGGAGTTATGTTCCTTTTCATAATCAGCTGTTCAGAGAGGACATTCTACTTAGATTAGGTGGCACTGGTAAAATTTGCTTACAAACAATACTGGGTCACTATTAGCCAATAGTCAGTATGGGTCCAAGACTCAGGAAGCCGTATAACACCTACTTTTTCTCAGTCTGGAAAAAAGTGCTCTTGATGTGCTAAAACCAGACAAGACAAACACATGAACCTTCTATTCCCTGCACTCTGTTTCATTAATAAATATCACAATGTTAGACAGAACAAAGAGAGCAGTCATCTTAGACATTCTTCTCTGCAACTGATGCCATGTCAATCAAAACCTGTCCTTTGTCACTATACACTCATCACTAAATAATCTAAAGTAGCACAGCCAATGTATAATCGTCTGACTCAATTTCACTAATGTCAGTTATCAGTTATCTCCTGTTAATTCCACTCTCCAAGTTCCCCACTGCCTTAACTAGGTACAGTGGATAAAGGTGTTTGTTAGATCCGCTGACATCCATTAGACATGGTATGTGGAACTAGAACGGTCTACCCCAGTGAGTGAAATAAACGGTTCAGTTTGACATTCCAACCATCTGAAGAAGGCTGGAGCGTACAACAGCCAAAACATTGTAATAAATATAGTGACAAAGGTGACAATAGTCCAAATAATGTAAATATTATCCAGAACTGATCCTGTAAAAATAAACATGTGAGTTTTGATTAACTTCAAATGATCAACACTTAACAAATACTTAAGGTTAAGAATTAAGGCAAAGTTAACCAGTTTTGAAATACTTAGACTGTGTACTTTCATAGTGGATATAGTATACATCACAAAACCAATTACAAAGAAACAGGATAATTTCATTAGAAACAAAGAAAAGGCTGCTGAATTACTACGTGATATCCATTTTCTTATATATCAATCTCCCCACAAATACAGAGGAAACTGGAGACAACAGAAAGGTTGTGCAACAGAAGGAAACTGAGAATTTCATAAGCAACAACTCTTTTTTCTCTCTCTCTCTCCACTCTTTTTCTCTCTCTCTCTCTCCACTCTTTTTCTCTCTCTCTCTCTCCACTCATTTTTTCTCTCTCTCTCTCCACTGTTTTTTTTCTCTCTCTCTCTCCACTGTTTTTCTCTCTCTCTCTCCACTGTTTTTTCTCTCTCTCTCTCCACTGTTTTTCTCTCTCTCTCCACTGTTTTTTTTCTCTCTCTCTCCACTGTTTTTTTTCTCTCTCTCTCCCTTTTTTTCTCTCTCTCTCCACTGTTTTTTTCTCTCTCTCTCTCCACTGTTTTTTCTCTCTCTCTCTCCCTGTTTTTTCTCTCTCTCTCTCCACTGTTTTTTTTTTCTCTGTTTTTCTCTCTCTCTCCACTCACTTTTTTTCTCTCTCTCCACTGTTTTTCTCTCTCTCTCTCCACTGTTTTTTTTCTCTCTCTCTCCACTGTTTTTTTTCTCTCTCTCACTGTTTTTTTTCTCTCTCTCCACTGTTTTTTCTCTCTCTCTCCACTGTTTTTTTTTTCTCTCTCTCTCTCCACTGTTTTTCTCTCTCTCTCTCCACTGTTTTTTCTCTCTCTCTCCACTGTTTTTTTCTCTCTCTCCACTGTTTTTTTTCTCTCTCTCTCACTGTTTTTTTCTCTCCACTGTTTTTTCTCTCTCTCCACTGTTTTTTTTCTCTCTCTCTCCACTGTTTTTTTTCTCTCTCTCCACTGTTTTTTTCTCTCTCTCTCCACTGTTTTTTCTCTCTCTCTCCACTGTTTTTCTCTCTCTCTCTCCACTGTTTTTTTCTCTCTCTCCACTGTTTTTTTTCTCTCTCTCTCCACTGTTTTTTTTTTCTCTCTCTCTCTGTTTTTTTTTCTCTCTCTCTCCACTGTTTTTTTTTTCTCTCTCTCCACTGTTTTTTTTCTCTCTCTCTCCACTCTTTTTTCTCTCTCTCTCTCCACTCTTTTTTCTCTCTCTCTCTCCACTCTTTTTTCTCTCTCTCTCTCCACTCTTTTTTCTCTCTCTCTCTCCACTCTTTTTTCTCTCTCTCTCTCCACTCTTTTTTCTCTCTCTCTCCACTGTTTTTTCTCTCTCTCACTGTTTTTTCTCTCTCTCTCCACTGTTTTTTTCTCTCTCTCTCCACTGTTTTTTTTTTTTCTCTCCACTCTCTCTCTCCACTGTTTTTTTCTCTCTCTCTCCACTGTTTTTTTTCTCTCTCTCCACTGTTTTTTTCTCTCTCTCTCACTGTTTTTTTCTCTCTCTCTCCACTGTTTTTTCTCTCTCTCTCCACTGTTTTTTTCTCTCTCTCTCCACTGTTTTTTCTCTCTCTCTCCCACTTTTTTTTTCTCTCTCTCTCCACTGTTTTTTCTCTCTCTCTCTCCACTGTTTTTTTCTCTCTCTCTCCACTGTTTTTTCTCTCTCTCTCTTTTTTTCTCTCTCTCTCTCCACTGTTTTTTTTTTCTCTCTCTCCACTGTTTTTTCTCTCTCTCTCCACTGTTTTTTTTTTCTCTCTCTCCACTGTTTTTTTCTCTCTCTCCACTGTTTTTTCTCTCTCTCTCTCCCTGTTTTTTTCTCTCTCTCTCCACTGTTTTTCTCTCTCTCCTCTGTTTTTCTCTCTCTCTCCACTGTTTTTCTCTCTCTCCACTGTTTTTTCTCTCTCTCTCTGTTTTTTTTGTTTTTTCTCTCTCTCCACTGTTTTTTCTCTCTCTCTCCACTGTTTTTCTCTCTCTCTCCACTGTTTTTTTCTCTCTCTCTCCACTGTTTTTTCTCTCTCTCTCTCCCTGTTTTTCTCTCTCTCTCCACTGTTTTTTTCTCTCTCTCTCTCCTCTCTTTTTTTCTCTCTCTCTCTCCACTGTTTTTTTCTCTCTCTCTCCACTGTTTTTTCTCTCTCTCTCCACTGTTTTTTCTCTCTCTCTCCACTGTTTTTTCTCTCTCTCTCCACTGTTTTTTTTCTCTCTCTCTCTCCACTGTTTTTTTCTCTCTCTCTCCACTGTTTTTTCTCTCTCTCTCTCTCCACTGTTTTTTCTCTCTCTCTCTCTCCACTGTTTTTTCTCTCTCTCTCTCCACTGTTTTTTCTCTCTCTCTCCACTGTTTTTTCTCTCTCTCTCTCTCCCTTTTTTCTCTCTCTCTCTCCACTGTTTTTTCTCTCTCTCTCTCTCTCCTGTTTTTTCTCTCTCTCTCTCCACTGTTTTTCTCTCTCTCTCTCCACTGTTTTTTCTCTCTCTCTCTCCCTGTTTTTTTCTCTCTCTCTCTCTCCACTGTTTTTTTTTCTCTCTCTCTCCACTGTTTTTTTTTCTCTCTCTCTCCACTGTTTTCTCTCTCTCTCCACTGTTTTTTCTCTCTCTCTCTCCACTTTTTTTCTCTCTCTCTCTCCCTGTTTTTCTCTCTCTCTCTCTCCACTTTTTTTTCTCTCTCTCTCTCTCCACTGTTTTTTTCTCTCTCTCTCTCTCTGTTTTTTTCTCTCTCTCTCCACTGTTTTTTTTCTCTCTCTCTCTCCACTGTTTTTTTTCTCTCTCTCTCTCCACTGTTTTTTTTCTCTCTCTCTCTCCACTGTTTTTTTTCTCTCTCTCTCTCCACTGTTTTTTTTCTCTCTCTCTCTCCACTGTTTTTTTTCTCTCTCTCTGTTTTTTTCTCTCTCTCCACTGTTTTTTTTTCTCTCTCTCACTGTTTTTTCTCTCTCTCTCCACTTTTTTTCTCTCTCTCTCTCCACTGTTTTTTTTCTCTCTCTCTCTCCACTGTTTTTTTTCTCTCTCTCTCCACTGTTTTTCTCTCTCTCTCTCACTGTTTTTCTCTCTCTCTCTCTCTTTTTTTCTCTCTCTCTCCACTGTTTTTCTCTCTCTCTCTCCACTTTTTTCTCTCTCTCTCTTTTTCTCTCACTGTTTTTCTCTTTCTTTCTCTCTCTCCACTTTTTTTTCTCTCTCTCTCCACTCTTTTCTCTCTCTCTCTCCCTCTTTTTCTCTCTCTCTCTCCCTCTTTTTTTCTCTCTCTCTCTCCACTCTTTTTTCTCTCTCTCTCTCTCCCTCTTTTTTTCTCTCTCTCTCCTCTTTTTTCTCTCTCTCTCTCCCTCTTGTTTTTCTCTCTCTCTCCCTCTTGTTTTTTTTCTCTTTCTCCTCTCTTGTTTTCTCTCTCTCTCTCCCTCTTTTTTTCTCTCTCTCTCCACTCTTGTTTTCTCTCTCTCTCTCCTCTTTTCTCTCTCTCTCCCTCTTTGTTTTCTCTCTCTCTCTCCACTCTTGTTTTCTCTCTCTCTTTCTCCCTCCTTTTTTTTCTCTCTCTCTCCCCTCTTTTTTCTCTCTCTCTCTCCACTCTTTTTTTCTCTCTCTCTCCACTCTTGTTTTTCTCTCTCTCTTTCTCCACTCTTGTTTTTCTCTCTCTCTTTCTCCACTCTTGTTTTTCTCTCTCTCTTTCTCCACTCTTGTTTTTCTCTCTCTCTTCTTTTTTCTCTCTCTCTCTCCTCTGTTTTCTCTCTCTCTCTCCCTCTTTTTTTCTCTCTCTCTCTCTTTTTCTCTCTCTCTCTCCACTGTTTTTTTCTCTCTCTCTCCACTTTTTTTTCTCTCTCTCTCTCCACTTTTTTTTTCTCTCTCTCCCTTGTTTTTCTCTCTCTCCACTGTTTTTTCTCTCTCTCTCCACTTGTTTTTCTCTCTCTCTCCACTGTTTTTCTCTCTCTCCACTGTTTTTTTCTCTCTCTCTCCCTTGTTTTTTCTCTCTCTCTCTCCACTTTTTTTTCTCTCTCTCTCCACTTTTTTTCTCTCTCTCTCTCTCTTTTTTTTTTCTCTCTCTCTCTCTCTCCACTCTTTTTTTTCTCTCTCTCACACTTCTCTCTCTCCACTCTTTTTTCTCTCTTCCCATTTTGTCTTTACACAAACATTTTTAAACTGCTTTCACAAGTGGTTAATAAACAAAAACTACTGGATAAACAAAGGATGACATTGATCAAAGGAACAAAAAGAAATAACAAATTGCCTAAAATACTTTCTACCAAAACCGCAATCTGAAAGATAGTAATGTAAATAATTTGTATAATGATGGATTATTTTTATCAGTGAGAAAACATGATCTGTCAGTGTTGTTAAGTATAACTAATATTTGTCTATGATGAGATAATCAACCTCCGTCATGCCTTTGCATGAGGTTTATGCCAAGTATGACAATTCTCAGAATGGCATGTGAAAGTCAAGTTTACTTACCTGGTCATTATTGTCAACTTCCAATAGTCTCCTTGTAAAGCCAAGCAATTAGTGTGATGACAGGTCCCAACAAAAAATGGGCTTCAAATAGAGGAATTGGCTGTGAAAGCTTTCCATGATTGAAATATTACTGAGCCTGATGATGTTTTCCCTTAAAAGATGGATGCTGGTATGAAACCTACTTGAAGAGACATTTTCTTTAAGACTCTTAAATATTGGTAGACATAAATATGCACTTTAAAAAAAAGGGATATCTACTGAAATGTCCATCCACTAAATATAATACAAATTAATATATACGTCTATATTTCTGAGATGAGGTATTATGTACACTATCTACCTTATTTAAACTATTGTCCCCATCTTTGTCACCAAATAATAAATATGGTGACAAAGATGAGGACAATAGTCCAAATAATGTAAATATTGTACATATATATATATTTTAATCATTTCACCCCAAGTAATGCAATAAAGCCACTAGGACACAAAACGTTACTGAGTGTTAGAGAATATGAGAAAAACTATTATGGAGTGAGGACAATTAAAAAAACAAGAATTAAGAAGATATAAGATAATGATTGACATTTCATTTAAAATTATTTTTGAAGATCAAAGTTGACTGGGAAGCTAAAAGATGGAAGAGAGTTCATAAGTGCAAAGTGCAATAGGAGAAGCTCTTAGCTTAGAAATTAGCATTATATCTAGCCATTTTAACTATAAAATAATGAGACCAATATAGTACTGCACTTATATTCATAAAGTCTAGGTAACATATAAGAAAGTTCATCAGAACAATTAGCATGAAAGTATTTATAGAAAAGGCACAGGGAAACTACATTACAGTGGTGGTAAAGTGACTGAAACCAAGGCTTCAGGTCAGGACCAATAATATTGCTGATACTTTGGATTTTATCAAGAATCTCTAAATATACAGCAGGAACACCAGACCATATGTGGTAGTAATATTCAAAGCAAGGACAAATGTTAGACTTATAAATATGTAAGATAGATTCTGGAAAAAAATGTCTAGCATGACCTAGTGAATCAGCATTCTTAGCTGCAGACTTAACAGTTGATTCAATATGCTCTTTCCACTTCATATCAGCTGAAAATATTAGTTCAAGAAGGCTCAATGAGTACCTCTCCTAGAGGTTAGCATCAACCATGCTGATGATAGTTAAAATGGGTTCTCTCAAATGATTAAAAGAGAGCCATTTTGTTTTTGAGCCATTAAAATTAATAAACAACTCCTTGCTCCAGTTAACAACAGACTGTAGTTAATTTTTAAGATCAACTGCCAATTTGACATTATTTTACCATTAAGACAGAAGTAAATAGTTGTCATCAGCATAAATACTGAGTTAAGAACTAATGGCATCAGGAAGGTCAATTATGAGAATTAGAAACACTGTAGGTCCAAGGATAGAGCCCTGAGGAATGCCTGCATTTATGAAAAAAAAATCTAGAAGAGTGGCCATTCAAGACAATTTTCATTTCCCAATCTGATAAGAATTTGAGATATTTTACCTCCTGACAAATGGATGGAGCAATTGATAGAAAGTCTAAGAAATTATAATCAGGTAACATCAATCAGGTGAGTGATTCTAGATGAAGGTAACCTCAATCAGCTGAATGACAGATTTATATTTGTGTATTTAGGCAGCAATCCTTCTTTCACGCATTTGTTTTTATTAAAAATAATGATAATTATATAGGCCATACGACAACATGTTTGATACGAAAACTCACAAATACAATAGTATCATCTACATGCAAAAAAAAGGCTAAAAATAATGGAAGCTTTATTAATAAAAACAAAATACCAACACTTAATAATAACAACTATGAATGTGGATACAATATCTTAACCATGTTTTGAAAATGAAAACATTATATAAATACATACATACAACAATCTACTTAACAGTTAATATATTTCAACCTTGAAAATGGCTTAATGAATAGCCAAAAGTGCTTGGATAAAAAGAGCAATTGGACAGTTATATAATTTTTCATTTGAAAAGAAAAAATTATAAGATCACACAAGAAATTGTATAAAAAACTAAATCAAATCACCTCGTCTACCATATTCAATAAAATGTGCATACACACATACATATATATAGAGAGAGAAAGTGATGAGAGAGAACAAATACACTCTCTTGAAATTGTCTCAGCCTTCACTGAGATATGCAATCTTGATTTAATAGGGCTGGAGTCACTATTGTAAGAATTCCCTATAAGACTCTGAAAAGACCAGTTATACAGTCTTCTCAGTTTTACAGGGAATTTTTACTATAGGGACTCCAGCCCTATTAAGTCATATGTTCTTTGTCATTGTTATTGAGAAAGATAGTGGAAGAGTCATATGTTCTTTGTCATTGTTATTGAGAAAGATAGTGGAAGAGTTTCCAATTACCTTCTGTACAGTTTTGAAATCAAAGTTGTGGCGTTCTCCTAAACTGTTGCCCAATAAGACTAAAGAGTCCACAGTCTGCTTTGTTATTTTCCCTATAGCTTGTGAATGAAATATGGATTTAAGTATTTCCCAGGCATTAATAGCAAGTGAATATAACGCTAGTTTTGTGCACCAAAAATCATTATACTCCATAGTCATCCACTACATACATGTCTATTTAACTTAGATTTTCACTATTTTCCAAACACAAAACTTTTCTATTTTTCTCTGAAGTTATTCTACTCTCCTTATCTGTCTGCATTTACACATAATTCTATCATTACATCACTTTCTGCTATAATAAATACCATACTTTCTCTCTCACATATCTTTTAACATTTCATCAGTATTCATCAAATAACCTCACTTAGTTCACAAATATCTCTGCAGCCTAGCATTTTTTTTTCACTAAGCTAGAACTTTGATTCTGTGCAAACTCTGGCGCACACTGTTTTACTAAGAATCTCACAATATAAACCATGTCAGACAAATATTTTGTTCGTTTATGTTGCCAAACAACTCCAGTTATCTGTAGCAGACCACATGCAAACATCAATAAAACAAATATGAACACTCAGTCCATGGAGGAAGCCAATCTAAAACATCAGACACAAATTTTTTTCTCTTAATTTTTGGCTGCACTTTTGAGTGTGTATCTATTTTTAGTCAGCTCTTTGCTTACATAATAACTTGTAATCATAAGGCTTATAGTTCAATCTCCTTTACAAGGCCACAGATATGTAAAGTTCCAATGACCATTCAGGAAAGCAGCAACAAAGAAGATAAAGTTGTCAAGAGTCATGACTGCCCACATTCTGAAGGAACATGGCACATAAAAAAAGATAATAGCTTCATAATTTTGGATAATCAACCTGATTTCAGATAGGCAAAGAAACCAATAAGTTAACCCATTCCAAAAGTTGTTTTGATAATTGAAATCATTCATGGTGTTGGATTTTTGTTTTGTTTAACATTTCAGCTAATTCATTCTACAGTGTTCTTCAAATAACAAGAGAAAGTGGTGTCAGTGACAAGGGTTTTTATTGCTTTTTTGTGTTGGAGTTGTTTTTGGTGATGTTTTTTATTTGAAAGCGGTGTTTTGTTTTTACTTTTCTTTTCCCTGGTTTTTATAATTTTTCTTATTTTTTGTTTTTTCTCATTTTTTTTTGTTTTTTGTCTTTTCTCATTTTTTTTGTTTTTTGCCATTTCTCATTTTTTTTTGTTTTTGTCATTTCTCATTTTTTTTTGTTTTTTGTCATTTCTCATTTTTTTTTGTTTTTTGTCTTTTCTCATTTTTTTATTTTTTGTCTTTTCTCATTTTTTTTGTTTTTTGCCATTTCTCATTTTTTTTGTTTTTTGTCATTTCTCATTTTTTTTGTTTTTTGTCATTTCTCATTTTTTTTGTTTTTTGTCATTTCTCATTTTTTTTTTTTTTTGTCATTTCTCATTTTTTTTTTGTCATTTCTCATTTTTTTTTTGTCTTTTCTCATTTTTTTTTTGTCTTTTCTCATTTTTTTTTGTTTTTTGTCTTTTCTCATTTTTTTTGTTTTTTGTCTTTTCTCATTTTTTTTGTTTTTTGTCTTTTTTTTTTTTTTTTTTTTTTTTTTTTTTTTTTTTGTCTTTTTTTTTTTTTTGTCTTTTTTTTGTTTTTGTCTTTTTTTGTTTTTGTCTTTTTTTTTTTTTTTCTTTTTTTTTTTTTTGTCTTTTTTTTTTTTTTTTTTTTTTTTTGTTTTTTTTTTTTTTTTTTTTTTTGTTTTTTTTTTTTTTTTTTTGTTTTTGTTTTTTTTTTTGTTTTTTGTCTTTTTTTTGTTTTTTGTCTTTTTTTTTTTTTTTGTCTTTTTTTTTGTTTTTTGTCTTTTTTTTGTCTTTTTTTTTGTTTTTTGTCTTTTTTTTTGTCTTTTTTTTTTTTTTTGTCTTTTTTTTTGTCTTTTTTTTTGTTTTTTGTCTTTTTTTTGTCTTTTCTCATTTTTTTTTGTTTTTTGTCTTTTGTATTTTCTCTTTTTTTTTTTTTTGTCTTTTCTCATTTTTTTTGTTTGTCTTTTCTCATTTTTTTTGTCTTTTGTCATTTTTTTTGTCTTTTCTCATTTTTTTTGTTTTTTGTCTTTTTTTTTGTTTTTTGTCTTGATTAATAAGATAGCATTTATAAAACCACATGCAAAGGAAATAAAAAAGAAATTAGACAAACCTGATAGTCATATTCAAAA